TTCACCTTCCTGCTCTCCTCTCCCTTGGGATGCTCTCCCACTCCTCAGGATGCTCTTCATCCCTTGAAAAAGCCATTCCCAGCTCCCCAAAACACAACCCCACACTCAATTCTGGCACTGCAGCCACACCCACTTCACTAAACACCCGCACCACCTCCTGCACCCCAACTCCCACCCAGGGAGCTGCTTTCCATGGGAAAACCATCCCCATTCCCACCCAGAGAGTCACTTCCCATAGGCAAACCATCCCCATTCCCACCCAGGGAGCAGCTTCCCATGGGAAAACTATTCCCATTCCTGCCGAGGTAGCTGCTTCCCATGGGCAAACCATTCCCATTCCCAGCTTTTCCCACCACCTTTGATGTCGATGAGCTGCTCCTCGGACAGGGGTTGGTTGTTGACGGGGTCAGTGCCATTCTCCGCGATGTACTTCTCGATCAGCCTCCGCTCGTACACATGGTTGGACACAGGGGACACACACGGGTGCTCCGGGACCTCATTGGAGACTGGGAGGGAAGAGGGAAGGGAATGAGGGTGATGGCATCACCTCCATGGATTGGTGAGAGCATGGAGGGGTCAGGAATATCCTTCTTGTGCCTGGGAAGCACATAAACCAGTGACCTCTTGCTTGGGGACACCATAAACCAGTGACTCCAGGACTGGGGACACCATGGACTGGGGATTCCCTGACTAGTGATCCCACAGCCTGGGGACCCCAGAAACCAATGACCCCCCACCCAGCCCAGGAACCCAATAAACCAGTAACCCCATGACTGGGAACCACATACACTGGTGATTCCCATCTGGTGATCCCACAGCCTGGGGACCCCACAAACCAGTGACCTTCTGACCAAGAACCTCATGAACTGGTGGCCCATAAACGAGTGACTCTCTAACCAGTAACCCCCCAGTCTGTGGGGACCCCAAAAACCAGTGACTCGCTGACTGGGAACACTCTAAACTGGTGACCCCCATAAACCAGTAACCTCATGACTAGAAACCACATACACTGCTGATTCCCATGTGGTGATTCCATAGCCTGGAGACGTCAAAACCCCATAACTCCGTG